GTGAATCAGTCCAGCACAAGTAAATCTGCCCTGGCACCATTTCGAGTGTAATCAACAGGAAATTTAATTCAGAATTGTTTAAGAACACTATCAACACAGAGGTTTCCAAACTGGTTTGCTGATATTTTTGCATTATTCATGGTAACAACTTTCTATCAACAAGCAAAGTAATTATGAGCAACGGACTGCAAATGACGTGGGATGAAGAGTTGCAGCCTCTTCTAAGGTACTGTATCGGCGTGTGTTTGGATACTGAGGAAAACAGTGAAAAACCATTTACAAGAGGCTACTCATGTGCTCAGAATCAAACGCAGGACCTCACAGATACGCTTGTAGTCAAATGACGACTAGAGGTAAAATCCAAAGCAAGACTTGGCAAACTTGCTGTTCCCCTGAAAATCTATATTGTGCTCAGCTAGCGAATTCATGTCTGGTTTGTAAATGGTGCCATATGGAATTTTCATAAAATGATAATGCCCAACTCAATGAAAGATGTTGTCCCCCACTACACGCCAAGCTGGCACTTGGGGGGAGGGGAAAAACTCATACTCATTCTTAACCTCTGCAATACCCCGCTACCCAACGGACAGGAGGCTGCGTGAGCCCCAGAGCCCATCTGGATGCAGAGCCTAGAGAAAAAATTCACGGGCATGAAACTCCGGTCGCCCAGTCCATACTCAGTCACCATTCTGACTGAGCTACCCCCGCTCACGTACATGCATTTGTGTTACAGAAATAAATCAAGTTTAAATCAGAAAGTACAAAATAAATCGTCTGATAATTCAAATAAAACGTAAAGCTGTCCTACTACACGACATGTAGGCGCTTGGAGGAATTCCAATACAAAACAAAATAAGTCAACTTGGAATTACGACAAAGATATGTGTTTTGTGTGTTTAGTTATACTGAAGATGAAAACGCAGAGGATTATGCTATAATACAGAGTCTGCCAAAGAGAATGCCGGGATTCCAAACACTTTCAACTCACGAACAAAAACAGATATGGCGACGCTGGTACTTGGGGTGTAATCGTCAACTCAAACAGTTTCACTGACACAAGTTGTGTGCGCGTCCCAACTGTAGTCAACGGGCGACGGCTCACTACAATGTCTACCTTACAGCACAGAGCACAGTCCGTGTTGTGGTACGCAGAATTTGAACCCATTATTCGAGTGCGACGTGAACACACACGAGTATGGTGTAAGACCACCTGATGACAAGAGCGATTTGGAGAGACTGGCAGTGTGGAAAGAAGACATTTTATTGAGCGGCCTAGGAGATCTGATGACGTGAATCGCGTTAGGAAAGCTTTTATACGGAGTCCAAAATCGATCTCCCGAGGAAGTGCAGAGTTATAGATGCTGCAAATTACTGTCCACAGAATCCTTCGCAAGAGCCTGTGTCTAAAACCATACAAATTACAGGTAGTCCAGAAACTTAAAGCACGTGATAAACAGCTTTGATCACAGTTTGCGGCACACGTGTGTGCACAAATTTTGGAACACAATAACTTCTTAAGTCGTACTGTCTTCACTTTGAGGCAAAATTTTATTACCTCTGGACGTGTTAATCGGCATAACTGTGTCATCTGGGGCAGTAAGCCACTCAGAGAATATTTAGAACATGAACGAGGTAGTCCTAAAGTGAACGTGTGGTGCACGGCAACTCATGAGAGTCATTGGTCGGCTTTTATTTGATGAGGTCATCATTACAAGCA